TGTGTTGATTCAAGTAAAGATTTGTTTTGATATTCAAAACAAACTGAAGATTTGTGGTAGTGCCTGCGTATCCTGGCTTCTTAATGTTTTATTAAATTTTTGGTGTTTTATCCTTTAATGCTTTCTGGAATTTTCAAGGTTTGCAAATTCGGCATGGGATAGTTTTTAGGGTTAGTTTTTGGACCAGGGATTTTTTCGGGTTCTGAGTTTTACCCTCATTCAACCATCCTTGTCACTTGACATCTGGAGTACCCCTCCCCCCCTGGATTGTATTGTTAGACATTTTTTGTGACTTGGAGGCAAGTATTCTTGTTATATTACAGAGGCAACAGATGATGTACAATAGAGTATAGTTGTTTTTTATCACATTTATTAGCTCATGACAAATGACCAGACCCAATTGTTCAAAAAGTAAATTGTGCTATCCACTGGATAATGCATTTCGATTCCCTAACAGCTATCAACTGGTGAAAAGTACTATCCAACTTTGGAACAACTGGGGGGCAGTTCTTTATAGTTTTGCTGTTGTTGTTATATTGTTTAGTACCAGCTTGTGATTTGTTGGACATTAAAGATTTTTTATTAAACCATACTTGACATTACAGGAATCCGTTTGATTGAAAATGTTGTCATGTTTAGGCAAAGTAATCCTCAAGGCTTGGAGGCTGAATATCAAAAAACTTTGATGTGCTATTGCCACACAGGCATGTGAGAGCATTGCGAAGGAGACCTGATACAATGTACATTTTGCCTACACTGCTTAAGCCAACCTTGAGATTTTTCTTAAAATCCATGAACTTAAAATAATTGATGATGTCATTAAAAAGCCATTCAACAGAAATTCTAACTTCACTCATAGACTTATTAAACTGCTGCATCTGAGGAGTTAAGTAGGCATTCTTGAATGGGCCCTGCAAATGCACCCTTAATGGGTACGCAGGGTCCCCATAGACACACAGAGGCTGCCCAGTGGGTGATATTGCATTCCGCTGTAGTTCTCTTAGCAGGCCAGATTCTGTTAACATGCTTGCATCATGCTTCCTTCCTTCTTTACAGTGGTGATAAACATGAAAGACAAAAGGTTTTTACATCATAGATTATGCTTCTCTCAACAAAAAATTATCATGTGTGAACATTTGTGTTTGTGACTGTGAAAGGAGTAGTAGGCGTGTTCATAAAACCATAGGTGACTCGCTTGCTGGGTAGGTAATCACAAAACAGCACTCTAAACAATCTGTTACCTTTTACCCCCAGTGATTGCATTCTTAAAGGACTCTTATTCGCTAGTTTCTAACTGAAAATTAAAGTTGCCATTGAAAGCAAACCAAAATGGAGATGAAGATGCAGAAAGGGATGTATAGGTGGGACTTGCCAAAATTATCTGGTAAACACCTGAATCAAAATAACATCTAATTTACCTTCATATTCTCCCCTCCCTAAACTGTACATGTGATTATTTCTTACCAACTGGGCCATACATGTTAGCAATGAGGCCATTTGGCAGTGTAACTGATTGAAATTTGATGCCATGGATTCTTTTGTGGCCGTTGTACATCACTCTTTGTCGTTCACCAGGTTTAGAAATTGCTCTCACAGTCCCATCGATGAACCCGAAACAATTATCTAAGGCTGCTCCTTTGGCTGAAATCGCATCTGCATACATTTGTAAGGAAACGGGGTTCAAGATACCGTTATTCCAGTTGGTTATCTTGCGGTGGTGGGTATCGTATATGTAGTCTATAACTTTGTTGGTAATCATGCATAGGACAGGTACTGGTCTGGCGAAACGATAAATAAGATCTGAATATCTACAAGGGTAAGCCAGCCTTTTCAGGAGCAAGCAGAGTCCTTCAGTTCCAGTGAACACTGATCTCTGGTCGCACTTCAAGAGAGCAGGAATCTGTAGCACCTCTTCTAGTTGCAGAATATGTCGCTTCTCAAAGCGAAATTCTGCAATGCACTCAGCTTCGTCGATATCATCGAGGTTGAACTGATCATATGAATCATAGGGAAATTCAAGGTTTTCAGACGTATTTAAATCATATAAAGCGAGGAATTCCATTTCATCCAGCCACCCTTCGCTGTATCCCAGCAGTAAAGCTTCTCGAGTATTCCTTAGGGATGCCATTCTAACTGGGGAGAGCGGCAGAGAAAGCAGAAAAATATGCTTCGTCGACACGTCGTCGACAAGTTTGCTTAGTATTGTTTTTCCCGCCAAAAGACGTCGACCTCGACCCAGGTTCTGGCGGGCTTGGCGGGCGTCCACCCGGCCGTCGTCGTGAGTTGCTTAAAGTCTCTAATGGAAAATTCTGTCAGCCAAGATGAAATTCACACTGAAAACATAGCTAACCAGAAAGGAAAAACTGCAATTTCGCCTTCCAGTTATCAGTCTTCTCAAGAACACGTAGCCGAAGTACAGAATTCTATCGCCGATAATGCGCAAGGAGCTGATAACGTGATAACTAATGACATTACAGAACAAAACACACGGCCTGTCAACGCAAATGGCAATAACATGCAATCGGCTTTCCGGATAAAAAAACCCAAAATGTCAAAGTTCTCAGGTGACGTCAGGGAATTCCCGATTTTCAAAGCGGACTTCAAACATCTCGTGGAGGCAAGATATAGTAAACGTGATTAGATCACTATTCTTCGAGCAACCTTGAATGGAAAGCCTTTGGATTTAATAAGAGGAATTGGCCAAGACTACGATGCCGCGTGGGAGCATGTGGAATCCATTTATGCCGATTTAAGCCTCTGGGTGACGGAAGACGCCCGTTTCTGTGACCTAGTACATCTCGTGAGACGAAGTTTCAACAACCTGTCGGAAGTTGGGTGGCAAAATGACATGGACAACAATCACATGTTGGCGATGATTGAACAAAAAATGTGTTCCGACGACCGCAAAGTTTGGTCACGTTTCTTGGAGACCACAAAATGTCACGCCACGCTGGAAGTGTTAATGTCCTGGATGACATCCGAAATGAAATCTAGAATGAGGGCCACAGCACCACTGAGAAGTTCTAAGCACCTAAATGTCAATCAGATATCAGCTCTTGAGGAAAAAGGGACAGCAAACCACAAGTGCTGGTTGTGTAAGGTGTCAACCCAATGGACGGACCAGTGTCAGAAATTTACATCAATGTCAACCAGCGACCGTCTCAAGGCCATCAAAGAGAACCATGGTTGTCTCTGTCGTCTGAAACGAGCTGGTCGTGATCATAATGTTTTTCCAACTGTTCCTGCAGACACCAATGCAGTGAGTCATTTAATGGAAGTCAGTGCAAATACTTTCACCACCCATTGTTACACGGTGCCAATGCAACGAACTCTGCTACAGCCTTAACAGTTTCATCCATTACAGGCAGAAAACAGGCAATTCTTCCCGTCGTTCTTGTGGAAATTCTAGGATCCGAAAAAGTCAAAAGGCAAGGAAACCTGCTCCTGGACTCTGGTGCTCAGGTCAGCTTAATTAACTCGGTCTTAAGGGAAAGGAAGTAACCATCACCATAGCTAAAGTTGGAGGGGAGGAAGAAGAATTGATAAAGCTATTCCGTGTTCACATCCGATCACTAGTGAGCCCAAATGTTATCCATACAGTAACAGCCGTGGGCATCCCGTGTATAAGCAGTGACATTACCGAAATAAAGCTCAGTCACATTGCTAGAATTTTTGGCCTTAGAGAAGAGGAAATCTGCAGAAGAAATGGCCCGGTTGACCTACTCGTTGGCATTGACCACCCTAAGCTGCATACAGGTGAGACCAGAGAAGCTGCTAACCTTATTGCAAGACAGTCCCCCCTTGGCTGGGTCATTTTTGGAGCCACACCCGGAAAACATGAACAAGTGAACCGTGTCTTTAGCGTAAGAGCCCCACGCCCATAGATATGACTGACTTTTGGACAACATAAACAATGGGAGTCGCTGCTAAGCCTTGTGAATGTGAAGCTGACAAGTTAAGTTCCGTAGAACGAAGACAATTGAAAATTATTGAAGACTCCTGTCAAAAGATTGGACACCAGTGGCTAATACCATATCCATGGAAAGAAGACCCGAAGAAACTGCCCAACAATGAAGTACAAGCTAAGAAGAAGCTAGAAGCAACTGAGCGCCGCCTGTCAAGAACACCAGAACATGCAGCTGCCTATGACAGACGAATGATGGAAATGACAGAGATGCAGTTTGCACGCAAGCTCACTAAGCAGGAATTGGAGACATACAAGGGACCAGTCCATTACATTGCCCACCACAAGATAGTGAGACCCGAAAAGACAACGCCCATCCGCATAGTCTGCAACTCATCTGCTTCATTTCAAGGTCACCAACTGAATGATTATTGGATGAAAGGGCCTGATCTGCTAAACAGCCTTTCTGGAGTCACCTTACGATTTAGAGAAAATGAAGTAGCTGTAACCGGAGACAATTCAAAAATGTATCACAGGGTTCTTATCCACGAGCAAGATCAGCAAGTTCACCGATACCTGTGGAGAAACATGGAAACTAATTGAGAGCCCGATGTTTATGTAAAGACGGTGCTGACGTTTGGAGATAAGCCCGCACCAGCTATGGCACAGATCGCTTTGAGAAAAACTGCAGACCAAGCAAAGAGTTTGTATCGCGAAGCTGCCCAGGTATCGAAGAACAATACCTACATGGACGACATTTGTGATTCCGTCCATTCCGTTCAGCAAGCCAAGCAACTTGCAACTGAGCTGGATGAAGTGTTCTTGAAAGGTGGATTCCAAGTCAAGGGATGGCTCTCAAACCAGTCTTTAGAGAACAAAATTGTCGGACAAGAGAAACCTGAAATGAAATTGCTACGAGGTGTAACACAAGAGAAGATACTAGGAACTGTTTGGAATCATGCCAAAGATATGCTCCTGTTCAACGTTAACCCACATAACGACACCACTCTGACCAAGAGAACAGTTCTTAGCCAAATTGCTCAATTATTTGATCCCGTTGGATTCGCAGCAGCCTTCCTAGTTCGAGCAAAAATCGGAATGCAGCATCTGAGGCAACAAGGTTTAGACTGGGATCAAGAGCTGCCTTCAGCAGCACGGGAAGAATGGATTAGTTTCTTTCAAGAAATTTAAACCTTAATCACGTGACCTTCGAAAGATCCCTCACCCAAGAGGACGCGATTGCACTCCCGATACTGTATCTTTTCTGACGCATCCAACGAAGCCTTTGGAGCTTGTGCCTACGTCAGATGGCTAACCGAGAGCAATGAGTATGTCACACGATTTATAGCTGCTAAATCAAAAGTAGCCCCACTGAAACCGCTGACCATACCCTGCCTAGAGCTACAAGCAGCAGTACTGGCCACCAGCACACACAGTACCTATATCAGTCCATAGCAGAAGAGTCAAGAATGCAATTTGAGAAAGTCGTATTCTCAGACAGCAACATTGTATTAACATGGATTTGCAGTCAAGCGAGAGAGTCCAAACCGTTTGTGTCTGCACGAGTAGCAGAGATTCAAAGCAATTCTGATCCGTCTCAGTGGAGACATGTCGCGGAAGAGTTTATTGTCGCCGATGACGTCTCTTGTGGTATACCGGCACAACGACTGATTGGTAGATGGAAGCAGGGACCAGAATTCTTACGACTGCCCGAGGAGGAGTGGCCTAAAGAAAATTCAACAGCTGACCTGAATGAAGTAGAAAAGGAATACCGTAAAACTCAAGCCATTCTGCTCACCGGTTCCCCTGAAGTTATCGACTGCAAGAAGTTTTCAAATTGGAGAAAACTTGTCAGAACAAGTGCCTATGTATTTAGATTCATCTGGAATTTACATACCCGATGTCAAGCAAAGAAATTACCTGAAACCCCTGAACAGCAGATGCAAGTGAGCCATGGACTATTGATGCCGCAAGAACTGGAGAAAGCCGAGAAGTACTGGGTTAAAGAAAGCCAGAAAACCCTCCAAGACCCCCTGAAGAAGGGAGAGCTCCAACAGCTAAGCCCGTTTACAGACGAAAACGGAATAATAAGAGTTGGTGGTCGAGTAGATGAAGCCTTAGTTTCCTATGAAACCAAACACCCTGCTATGCTCCCCCGAGACCACTGGATATCTCTTCTGATAACTCAACACTTTGATCAAATCGGACTGCTGGTGGGGCAACCACAGTAGCGAAGATAAGAACGAAATTTTGGATCATAAGAGCTCATGATTGGGCCAAGTCTGTTAAGTTCCGATGCTTGTGCTGCAGAGAAATTCAAGCAAGAACTGAAACACTACTCATGGCTGACCTGCCCAGAACTGGCCTTGAACCGTTGATGCCCCCGTTTCATTACACAGCATGTGACTACTTTGGACCGTACAAAGTGAAGATAAGCCGAAACACAACCACCTAGCATTATGGAGTAATCTTTACCTGCATGAACACGAGAGCTGTACACCTGGAGCTGGCTGTAGATTATTCTTCAGTTGAATTTAGGCAGATGCTGAGACGATTCTTTGCTATCAGAGGATAACCTGCGCTGATGATGAGTGATAACAGTTCTCAACTTGTGGGCGCAGAGCGCAAACTCAGAGAAATGATCCAGGGGTGGAATCATAAAGAGCTTAAAGAATTTAGCGCAGAGAAAGGAATGAGATGGCAGTTCATTACACCCTGGAGCACCGCATCAAAATGGCTGCACAGAAGCGTTAGTTAAACGCCCCAAGAAAGCCCTAAAGAAAGCAATCAGTGAACAAGTCCTGACCCCATTTGAGTTATACACCTGTTTACTGGAAGTGGCTAACCTGATGAATCAACGCCCCATTGATAGAATTCCTAATGACCCGGATGACGGCTCGTATCTGTGTCCCAACCACATGCTCCTTGGACGAGCCACCTCAATGGTGCCATAAGGACCGTTCAGAGAAACCAGGAACCCACGGCACAGAGTCAAATTCGCACAGAAGATAGTGCACCCCTTCTGGAGACGTTGGACCTGAGACGTGTTCCCGTCGTTGGTCACCAGAAAGAAGTGGAATGCTGAAAAAAAAGCGCACTGTGAGAATGGATGACATAGTCATCATGGAAGATTCCAACTCTGTTCGTGGAAACTGGACCATTGGAAGAATCATCAATGTCTACCCAGGAAAGGATGGCAGAGTTCGAAATGTAAAAATCAAGACGTCAACCTCGGAGTATAAAAGGCCTATCACAAAGATTGTGATCATTTACCCAGCAGAAGGATACGAGGACTGATGTAGTTTAGGATGAGGACACTGCCCTCATCGGGGCGGAGAATGTTAACACAGTTTTTTGGTTTATGCTAGGAATTCATAGTTAAGGAATTTGCGGTAGCCTCGTACACGCCCAACAGGAAACTCAAATAGTAGATAAACCTAAACTTTAATTAAGTAGTTTAGTTTTACCCGAGATCTGAATTGGACATGCTTCATGTGATTTACTGCTTACCTGTTACACTGTTTCATGGTTATCCCGATCAACGAAAGTTAAGAAAACTCACCATAGAAGTAAGTTTAAGATCAATGCTATAATAT